CAACCTTTCGATAATTCCATCCAAGCCCGCTCAAAATACGGCCTCTGTGACACAAGGCCCTCGACCCATTCCTTAAGTTCAGGAGTTGCATCCGGCATCTGGGCCATACCTGCGACACCAAAAACATCAATGAAGAAAGAGATAAGAAGAAAGACAATGGGATTGAACCTTCGAAGTGAAACACTACTTACGTTTCATGTTTATTTCTCGGGAAATGGCATGTCTTCACCAGGGATCAAGTCTGAAATCTTTACTCGAACAAATCGGTCTATCCAACCTCGGTCCCGAGTTTCATCTATGCTCGAGAACGGAGCCTTACTGGCCCGGCGAGCAAGCTTGATCAGCCCTCCTCGATAAAGTTAGGAACTGTAGAGACGCATAAGGTGGTCGAGGGTAAAGGGACATCCCTCGATTTTGCTTGCAAAAAATCGGAGGAGAATCACTATTCTCCAGAAGGAGGGGTGGATCTGGCCAAGAGTCATATCATACCTTTTGCAAAAGACAACGATGATAGGGTCTACGAGACCCAACGTGAAGGGATAAGTGTAAACACTTAGAAAACCCTCCACGTGGGTAGTGATCAATTCCTCGGGCGAAGGAACCGCCACATGCTTATTGACCCAGTTGCAGTCCTCTTTAACCTTGGTAAGGAGATCCTCGGTGATTGAGCATATGTATCTCAAGATCGGCTCACATCGGCCTGGTACTGAGGAGGTCTTTTCAACCTTAAAATCGGTAATAGTGGGGCACCCTATTGGAACGAACTCCTCGTGGTGAGACTCCGCCGCACCCCCACCACCGGCGGGTCGTGATGAAAAAGCAGCCTCCTTTTGCAGTACGGTCTTAGAAGTTTTCGCCATTGAAGAATAGGAGGAAAGAGAATTAAGATGGTATGCAGTTTGATGAAAGTTTAAGAAATTTGGGTGCGAGAGTTCCAAAGCAAAGGGATTTTTGAAGGAAAAACAAGAATAGGAGGAGCTTTGAGTGTAAATTTTGAATGAAGAAAAATTGGATACTTATAGCTTGCTGGTGACGGTTCAGAACCGGTAGTGGCCGACTAGCGATTAGCAGGTATTTAATGCCTTGATAACTGGACCGACGGGACGTTTCGATATCTATTTGTCGCTTACATCATAGTCGGGTTCATCGCTTACGTCATGGCCCATCGAGACGGGATTCGAAAATTCATGTTGTTTCTTGTCATATTCTCTCCGAGAAACGAGGAGACTATATACGGCCAAAACCGGGCTATCCCCTTGTTTGACTAATTGAAACTGGAATATGATAGATTAAGGTCCGTCCTCGAGTCATATCGAACCGGGGTGTGAAATTATATCGCTAAGCTCGAGACCCCGGGACTGAACAAAGTCGAGATCAGGTGAGATCGAGGGAAACTTGCTGAGTTGGATAACAGAAAAGCGAAATATTCGTGATCGAGCGTAGATCACGGCAGAGATCTCAACATGTATCAAGGATAGGCCGATTAATTAGCTAATCAGGAAATTTCTTATTCCATTTAGAACTGTATCAAGAGTAGAACTCCCCTACTATATAAAGGGGGTATGATCATTTGTAAACGGGGGGACTTTTAGGCAACATAAAGCAATACATTGTCTTTTTCTAGCTTTCATTATTGTTTAAGTTGAAAGCAATACTCTGTTCTTATATCAAGTTGAAACTTCTCTTAGTTCAAAGGTGGTCTAACTTAAGGGACAAGGCTATTCGATTCGTTTGATTTGCATTTATTTCTTGTATCGTCAAATTCAATATTAATATATTATCTTAATTTGTGCCAAGTTATATCACGTATCCTTAAAACCGCATATAAATTTAATTATTATCCGTTTTTAGGGTAAACAACTTTATAGCGTTAATCATTTTTTTCACATCACATTCACTCTTCATTGCCTCCTTATGATTCATCAGAGTGGGATTCACTAAGAGGAGTTGTATATACTGTCTACAGAGGCTATGGTATGCATGCTAGATAAGGTTTTCCACAACGTTATAGATACTCATGTTTTGCATCATATATTCTGAAGTTTGCCACATTACCATGCAATGGATGCAACCAAAGCTATCAAGCCATTACTAGGAGAATGCTACCAATTTGATGGTACGCCCGTTTGTAAGGCAATGTGACGGTATTCAAACAAGTGCATCTATGGGGAGAAAGATGAAAGACCTCAAGGCAAAGGTGTTTTTTAGTACAACCTGAGTAGTTGTGGTGAGTAATTTGGATCAAGGTTTATGAATTGAGTGAGTCTCTGTACCAAGAATGTAATGCAATACGATGGAAACACGCAATCCAAACCGTTTGAATTCATCCACATTGCCTTATAAACTAGGGTACGTACCGTAAAATTGGAAGTATTCTCCCAGTAATGTCTTGATAGTTTTGGTTGCCTCCATTGCATGGTAATGTAACAAAGTTGGAGAATATATGATGCAAAACATGAGTATCTGTAACGTTGTGAAAGACCTTATTTAGCACAACATAGTCTGTGTCTACCATAGCCAAAATTCCTTTTAATTAATTCCACTAGGATGAATCATAAAGAGGCAATGAAGAGTGAGCGTGATGTAAAAAGGTGATTAACACTATAAAGCCGTTCACAATTAGGAGGGGATGCATACAAAACTAGCTAGCCCTTGTTTTGTATCACGCGATACAACACATAATCAAACTGTGGATTTGTAGAAACTCTCACTGTCATTATATTTCATGCAATACAGATTATATTTGACATGCCAAGCGATCATAAGATCTATCGGAGGCATTAAATTCCAAGTACAAAGACTTGCCAAGAGCTTAGGTGAAGGCAAGAATGAGTACCCATCCTAGCGCTCGTGTGCCATATTTTATTTTATTTTTGCTTCAGGCTATTCGTGTATTTGGACTTTGGAGTACCATATTCAATTTGATTTAATCTTGGGCACCTAGACCTCATCATGTTCAAGGGAAACAATGTTGGAGCGATGATTATATTTCCATGAGATTATGGCGTTAAAAGTGAAAAGAATAAGACTAGAGGCACGGTGGGCAATTCATGGCCTACTCGCAAATTTGAATGATTTTGCTACATGAATGACCCAAAAGTGGTAGTGCCAAAATTAGCATCCCAACTCCCAACGATATAAATCTATATACTCGATGATATTTTATAGGCCAAATACATAAGCGGCCCTTAAAGTTGGCTTCAACTTTCATTTAGACACTTCAACTAACATAATTTATAATCTACCTATTAGACACAAAATACTGACAAGGCAAAACAAGTGTTTCTCCCTAAGGGGCGTGAACTGATACTAGTGTCATATACCACCGCTTACATCAGCCTACAAAAGGCATAATCACCACTAACTGACTCCTATTCATCGTCTTCCTCTGTCCATCAAGAAACCACATCTCGACTTCAACAACAAAACACACATATACAGTCGCACCAACAGCTCCACCAAAACTTGACCACTTTCGCACCTCACTTTCACTCAAAGTTTTCATGTACACTGAGAAAATTACAATCAACACAGAACCACGACCCCCCCTCCCCCCTTCAGATTATTTCATGAGATCTAAATAGAGGAGTCAAAGGTGTCGTTCGAATTATAGACAAGCCATAAATCTATCAACATCGATGACTGTCAGAACATTCACATGCTTCCCCTCTCAATACCATCCATTGAAACTTGAATTTCTCTTAAATTTCAAGGGAAAAAAGTTTGATCTTGAATTTTTCATCACTAAGAGAGCTTAAATTATATTAAATTAAAAACCCAAAAAGGAAAAGAAAAGAAATAAATGAGAAAACCTGAAGAAAATTGATAAGAGACCTTGAGGTATCCGCTGTATGAGTTACAATTTAATGCTATTAATAGATATTTGGGAAAAAGAAGGGGTAAATGGAAAAAGATGGAATGCTAGGGTGCGGAGCAGACGAAAGGATTTTGTTTTTTCTTGGGGTGAGGGGTTGTGAGAATTTAGTGGAAATATTTATTTTTTCTAAAGCCTGTTCAAATATCACGTGTCTCCATATTATTCGTCCTTTGCCACCTCATACGCATGTGAATTACATGCACATAAATTTTTTTAACTGGTCGTGAGTAAGGTGTTTAATAGGTACACTATGAATTATGTTGGAGTGCTTAATAGGAACGAACTTTAGTTAAAGTGTCTAAGTGAAAGTTGAAGCCAACTTTAAGGGGACGCTTATGTATTTATTTGACAAGTTGCATCTTGTAGCTTTACTGGCTGTCGAAGTTTTTAAAACGAAGTCATTTACTCGGCAGAACTCAACATCTAATCTGCACACAGCCATCTCCACACGTAATGTCCAACAAATAAGTAGTACCGAGTACTATTTTCAAGCTGTTTGTGCCCCTGTGGTCAATTAATACGATGATTATAGTCAATTGCAGAAGTTCCAAATGACAAGTTATATGCATCTGTAAGTGATACTTTAATTGCACTAAACTTAAATTAGCAAAAACCAAAATGGATATAAATTTGTGGACAAAAAGGAGTACCAAGTGTAGAACTATCATTTACAGTTACAAATATTTATTGAAAAAAGAAAGACATAATAATATCTAACAGGATTTCCCAACAAAAAATATAGTATCAAATCCTATAGGTGCCATCGCTTACAACAAGAAACTTTGTGGAAAAGAAAATGCGTATCATATCTATCCAACATACCACTCTCTGTCTTTACTTTCTTAGTTTATATCATTGAGATGTTGAAACATATTCTTTAATTTAGAAATTTCTGTGATCTTATGACCTTTTCATCTACTCACACAACGTCCTTATCAAAATTGGAATAAGGGATGAAAAGACTCCAAACTTCTTGTTTTTTTAATCCTAAACCCCACCCACTCCCCTGCATCCCCAGGAATTGAAACAAGATATGCATAAATACCCAACAATTTCACCAAAATTAAAGCACTGAAAACCAACATTCAAGCATAACATAAATCCTTTTGTTGATCTTATTGCCATGGCATCAAATTCAATCAAGATCTCCCTTATTTTACTTTTAACCACATTCATATGCACAGAAGCTGAACTCGGCCAACTTAAAGAAACAAGAATGACAGTCTACTTTCAAGATTGGTCTGGTGGGCCAAATGCCACTGTGCTTCAAATAACAGGTCACCAAAATGGTCCTCTGAGTTTTGCTAAATTCGGTTCTGTGTTCGTCACTGATGATCCTATAACAGAAGCGTTTGATAAGAACTCGGCTGAAATTGCTAGAGCTCAAGGTATATATGTTACCTCTGCATTGGATGGAACTATTTCTCATGTGCTAATATCAATCATCTTCACCATTGAAGAATATAAAGGCAGCACTTTGGAAATACAAGGCGCTAGTCCTCAGTTTGAGAGAGTAAGAGAAGTGGCTGTGGTTGGTGGTACTGGAAAATTTAGACTTGCTCGCGGATATGCAACTTTTGAGACTATTCACTTCGATTTGGCTGTTCATTACGTCGTTATTCAGTGTAATGTTACAGTTTTACATTATTGATTTACGACATAATAATGATAATATATAGTCCATCAGAACAAAGTGAAATTGATCTTGTATATGCTTAGAATTCAAGTTTGTTTCCAAATTGATCTATGTATCTGTAAAGGCTAATCTTTTGCCTTTTGGTCCAATGTCTATTATATATAGCATCTGAAGAATCTGTCAAAAACTCGATCTTTGAGAGTACTTCCTTAGACGCAAAGGAATGAGTAGCATAAGCTTCTTAGCTTCTTTTCTTAAATATGAGGATGATACATTGGAAATTACAGAAAACACAATGCATACAAAAGCCACGTAATACAAACTCATTAATTTGTTTAAATAGCTGTAGCTTAACAACTTTAACGACTAGAACAACATCTTGGTACTGCCGTTGTTGTGTAACTAAGAGATTTATCAGCGGCCATTGCCGCCACCACCACTGCCAGATCCACTTCCTACACCCACACCTTTTCCAGCTCCAGTACCAACACCAACTCCTATGCCAATCCCAACTCCAACTCCAAATCCTCCGCCATGTCCGCCTCCTAATCCTCCACCATGTCCGCCACCTAATCCTCCACCTCCACCAGCTCCTCCTCCTAATCCTCCACCTGCTCCACCACCTACGCCTCCACCCGCACCAAAACCACCACCATGACCTGATCCTCCTCATACTCCACCTCCACCACCACCTCCAAATCCACCTCCACCTCCTACTCCTCCAGCGGCACCACCTCCAACTCCACCGCCTGCTCCAAATCCACCACCATGTCCTGAGCCTCCTCCAAGACCACCTCCTCCACCACCACCACCACCGCCTCCTCCACCACCACCTCCTCCTGCAGCTCCTCCTCCAACACCACCACCAACACCACCTCCAGCTCCAAATCCTCCTCCATGTCCAGAACCACCACCTATACCTCCCCCACCACCACTACCTCCACCTCCACCAGCTCCACCACCAAGTCCTCCTCCTGCACCACCTCCTACACCTCCTCCAGCTCCAAATCCACCGCCATGACCTGACCCTCCACCAACACCTCCTCCTCCACCACCACCGAAGCCACCACCTCCTCCAACACCGCCTCCAGTGCCAGCACCACCACCAACACCACCACCAGCTCCAAACCCTCCTCCACTACCTGCTCCACCACCAACTCCTCTACCTCCACCACCCCCTAATCCTCCTCCTCCTCCTCCACCTAGTCCACCTCCAGCTCCTCCTCCAAGACCTCCTCCAGCTCCTCCGCCAAGACCTCCACCAGCTCCTCCACCACCCCCTAACCCTCCTCCTCCACCTAGTCCACCACCGCCTCCAGCTCCGCCTCCAAACCCTCCACCTGCACCTCTACCACCACCAAAACCTGGACCACCGCGTCCTCCCCATCCCCCACGTCCACCGCGTCCACCATATCCCCCACAACCTCTCCTACCATATCCACAACCATTATCATTACCCCACCTCGACTCTTCAAGCTTGTCATCACCTAAAGTGATGGCACTTAGTTCCAAGAAAATGCTCAAGAAAAGAAGTAACCCGATAACCCACTTTTGAGAAGAAGAACCCATGGCTGTATATGATCACAAAGGTTCTCAGATCAGACTACTTGTGCTCTTCCTCACTCAGAGTTTCTGAATATATATAGGCTTAGTTACTCGATCTAAGTTGACAAAATATGGATAATATTATTAGTCACTCGTCAGCTGAAGACATTAATGTCAACAATGTGTAAAGCTGCATGCATGGTTTATTCGACGCGTTTGAACCGTTGGGGAAGTGGCGGGAACATTAAATGACCCAATAGAATTAGTCAAAAGGCTATAATTCATATATCTACCTTCTATAATTATTGTCTCTCTTTAGATCGAAACTTCGTCAACGCTGATCCAACACTACCGACACAAACCAATAATATTATTGCTATTGTGTAATGGTATGGCAAATGGGCCATTCTCTTTACTGTACGTCTCTTCCTTGCATGGAATGTTTTGATTATCATCCTTTTCTGAATGTGATGGTTGTAAATATATTTAGAGGAGACTAACATCGAATCTTATTGTTTTTTTTTCAGCCCTAGGTAGTGTTAAATTTAGGTGTTCAATAGCGTCAATTTAGTTGAATATTAAAACAAGTATCGATGTTTCTGTAGATTTAAATGGAAGTAAGTAAAAGTGGAAATAAAGCTGACCAATTGAAAAAGTTGTATAGTACTCCTATGTGAATTCATTTTATTGGCCTAAGTTTAAGAAAAAGAGAAGACTTTTGAATTTGTGGTTGTAAAATGAGGCATATATTTTGTGTGGCTATAAATAATTGCATAAAGATAAATTATTTCCAAATAAGAAAAGAGATCATTTTTTTTACGAACTAAAAAGGAAATAAGCTAACATATAAACTTATGAATATTATTTTAAGTAAAAAAAAAGGTCCTACATAGTTTTGACAATAAGATAACGAGAATTTATTGAGTAGGGTTGAGAATTGATTTCCTTTACGAGAAAGTGGACCTAATTTAAGATATATTTTAAAAGAAAGTTAGATCTAGTGGTCGCGGTCCAAAAGCCCGTAACAAGCTTTTGCTAATATAGGGTCAGTTTTGGCTTTGTTACGAGAGTGCTATGCTCAGATCAACCTCTTTCACATCCATATGGTATCATTTATCTCCCAATTGTAGATTTATATTTTTTCGTACTAAAATCTTTAGTTCATTATCCATCCAATGGTGTGGCTTAAGTAATTAATGAGGTGGAGGAGAATCATGAAGTCTTATTTTTAAATTTCTGTGAAGGCAAAAAATATAAGGTAATTTCTTCTCATCACCCAAGCTTAGGGGCAGGGTCACTTGTTATATATCTATGTTGGTGGGAATTATAAAGTATCAATAGAAGAGTCGAGATGCGCACAAACGGGTTCGGATAGATTAACTCGATCTAACATATGTAAGAGCTAAGTGAAACGTAAACTAACAGCTAAGTCTTGTTTTGGATAGTTAATTTGGAATAAAGGGAATAAATAATGATCTATGAGTTTTACTTAATAGAACTGAACTAATTATATTAAGTTTTATATATTCAATCATATAATTAGAGTTAATGCAACTCTTTATATATGTAATATGTATGTACCTCCATACTTTATGTCTCTACAAAAAGAAGACCAATACTCCTTAGATAAAGTTCAAAAATTCATTGAAACCAGTGAAAATTACATGTGTTAAATAAGAGAATTAATATATGTTACTTCGAAATGCGGCTCGTGCAGACATCTGATATTAAAAGGCACCCATTCACTTGAATTGGCTATCTTTAAATTATTAGTAGAATACGATTACCAAGTAGTAATACCAACGATATTTTAGCAATCTTCATTTTAATTGTCCTGCTACCCTTTTGTTGGCATATTGTTTTGATGATTGAAAAAGGAACTCAACTAGGTTCATACACAGTGTACACAGACACGGGCAGATTCGAGCACAAAATATGCACGTGAAGGAGATAAGCTTAAGTGGTTATATTTGTCATCTCGTAAACAAAAAGGATGCATAAGTGATAAGGAGAAGGACTCCTTACTCGAAAAGAACTCTATCCTAGATAAGGGAGGAGTTAGAAGTTAAAAGATAACTAACTCTTCCACCAAGGAAGAGTAAAGCATTAGACTTCTAGTTATTTCCTATTTTACTAACTCTATATATTTCAAGATGTTCTCATTTTACAGGTACGCACAAACACTGAAGTTAAACGTGAGTTCAGAGCAAAATAGCAAGGCATTTTGCAAGCAATTTCTGTGTGATTCAAGTGTGCGAACCTGAAGCTAACCAGATAGAAGAACCAGTTCTAAGTGTCTGTCTTTTATTCTAGTTTCATTGTAGTAGAGCTTTTGAGTTGTACCTTTAAGCTTTATCTAGAAGCAATTGTACTAGGTACTTTGAGTGTAGTATTAAAGTTAGAGTTAACTTGAAGTTGTCGCAATAACTAGAGGTTGGTTGCCACAAAGGGTTAAAGGTAATCCTTAGGTTTACAAAGAGTTTTGTAAAATATTGTTTTTGGCTCAGTGATTTAGTGAAGTGTTAGAAAAAATCCTACTGAGTAATAGGTCGTAGTTTTTTCACTTTTTGAGCCAAGTGTTTTCCACGTAAAAATACTTGTGTTCTTTCCTTTCTGCATTTATTATTCCGCAACAGTAATATAAGGAACACATAGAAGAACCATGTCCTTCTATAATCTATGCACGCGAAAAATTGGACACCACATAAATCATCCCCTCTTGTATGGTATTGAAGTATAAAACATCACCTTTAAATAAAGAATTTGATGCGTCTTGACTTTACGCAAAAATTAAGATTATTCAACAAATATTTGCATCGTTTAGTAGTAGCATTACTTAAGAAAAGCGCATATGGCAACATACAAACTTATTCAAAACTTTGTTAGAACAAAATAAAGAAAAAATTACTGCATGACAGAGTAAAATATTCTCAAGTAATATTTTATACGTAAATGTAGGTTAATAAACTTTCACTTTATAATAGAAGTTCATAGAGTACAAAATTTTCATAGATCAAAAAAGGGGAATGGACATGCACTAAATGAACTTACTTAAAATAGAAGGAATAGGTTTTATTTCGACCATGCACGATTTTCAACAAAGAAGAGATAAGTTGTCACACATCAAAATGTGATAAATAAAATTTGAAAATTCCTCCATTTTCAAAATTCTTTAACTCATGGGCTGCCGTTTAAGATAATCCATGAGGCTTATAGGTCCAAAGTGAATAACTCCAACAATATAGTGGATCGGTCCACTATAGGGTTCATTGTGGACCATTGTAAAACGATCCAATGTTTTCTGATATAGATTTAGAATTTTCTGGGCTTTTGCAAGATCCAAACTGACTTAAGCTGCCGCAGTTTTGGCAAATAAATAAAAATTAATAGGTTATTTAATTAATTTGACGAAGAAGTGCAACAGAAAACGCATATTCGCTCCTGACCAATTGTTCTTCAAAGGAAAATAAATTCACTTCTTGCACTTTGTTTTGGGAAGACATAAGTTTTTGTTATCTTAAAAAAAAAAAAGATAAACTTGGAATTTAATTGTGGTTCATGTAACATTTGTATAAGAGTATTTTCTTCCGAATATGTAAGAGCATTAAAGAGATTAAAACTGTGTATTACTAATAGAACGGAAATTTATCAGCACACTAATAGTTAAATAGGAAAATAACTGAAGCCAAAGATAAACTAAATAAAATCAAGAATCGCATTAGTTCAATGAGAACATCTGTAACAACTATTCGGAGCCTAGACAATATAGTAGATATAAAAGAAAAGAGATCCTCCAACTGCATTTATTATTTGCAGATAAAGCCCTATTTAAATGTAATATGATGCTAGCCACCTTCATGTAACAGTTCTGCAGATTGTTCCAATTACTAGTTCAAAATTCCTCGGGTTGATGCTCTACCACAAAGAAGGGCATCGCTGGGAATTGGATATTCATCTCTCCATGAATTTGCAGGCGAATAAACTCGCAGATAAAACTGCTGTCCTAAATATTGGCGAGCCCAGTTCTGAGACCTTATATTCCACATTCCCACATTATCTAATGGCATGTAAAGTGCAGTCCAAGACTTTGGGTACACCTATAAATAATGCAATCAAATTGCTAGTGAATTGAGTGTTTACATTCAGTAATTAGTCCACACAATGTGAATTGAAGTTAATCTAAGTTACCTGAACAGTTGAACGAGAAATCGTATCCCTTAAGTTGTATGTTAATCTGCTTGCAGGAGTCCACTCTCCTCCACCCATCCTGTTTATAAGATTTTGACATTACGTTTTAGCTTACAAGAATTTTTTTATTCAGTTACTTGAGATTGTCAAGGAGAGAATCTTGAAACTTTAGAAACTCACCCTACAACGAAAAAATGGTGGCCATCAATGTGGTAAGACTGCACAGTGTCTTCTAAATTCTCAAAGATAACCTCAGTATAAGCTCGAAAATCAGCAGCCATAACGGATGTCTGAAGGTAAGCACCGCCACCTGTAGGGCTATCTGGAATGCTTCCAAGGGTAAAAACCCCAGGAATATTGAAGTGATCAGCAAGTTTAAGTGGTGTATCTGCTGGAACAAATGACACACTGTTGATAGCATATCTTTGCTTCCCGTTGATGATTGGAGCTGAATTCGCGAGCCTAATTGTGTGTGTGGTGTTGATCAATCCGTAGTGGTAGGAACCCTGGGGGTTAGGTCTCGGTCCACTAGCTGATAGATTACGCCTGATACAATACAAGCAATTATATGTCTCTTTCTATGACATGAGGTATTAAAGAACCAACAGAACACAATTTACACAGCATATGAGTGGAACCATTGGCACAAAGCAGCAATTTAAATGTCCTAATGAGTTAGGAACTTTGTTCATCTAGCAATTCAAAATGGAAACATAACAAGAAACCTTGTTATTGCAGCATTCACTAAAAGAGAAATGCACCTGAGAGAACGGGCCTGATTGAGAGACCAATCAACTTCGGTTGTTGGTCCACCAGGAGGAGGGCCAGAAACACTT